TCCAAGTTCCAAATTTTCCTTTGGAGGGGTGTGTTCTTGCTTTTCCCCGTAATCGCCAAATAAGGTCACCAACTTTAAATGTTCGTGGCCTGACCTTGGTCTTGCTTTCCTTGTGGTTTGTCGCGAATTGCCTTGCAAAACTCGGCATGCTCCTCCATCTAGATGTACCCAGCAGCGCGAGCTCGGAGCTCGTCCATGTCGGGAGGAGGTCGTCGGCAAAGGCTGTCGATGAAAGGTCCTGGCTTGAGTGCCATGAGCATGGCATGCAAGGCGACCTCGGGATTTAAGTTTCAAAATTTCACCGAGATGCCGGCAAAGCGTTCCATGAACGCCCGTAGTGGTTCTTCGTTACTCTGTCTGAGACTGGCCAAGGCGGCTGATGTGACATGGTGAGGTCGACTCGTGGCATACTGCGCTGTGAATCGCCTTACCAGAGTGTCGAAGTTGTCTATCGACTTTACCGGCAATTGAGTGTACCAGTTGAGCGCTGCCCCCTTGAGTGAGGTCAGAAAAATCCTACACAGAATAGCATCTTCATTAGTGTATAGGTTTACCTGTGTAATGTACAGATCGACGTGCTCGTCTGGATCTGTCGTGCCGTCGTAGCGGTCGATGTGGAAAGGTTTCCACCCGAAAGGGAGAGGTGTTTCCATGATGCCATCCACAAAAGGATGACGGCGGAAGGTCGCCTGATTTCCCGTGCCGTGGGCAGGGGCGTTGCTGACGTCATGTGCTGACCTATTCGTCGGTACGTGAGACCGATGTGTGGCAGGTTTGGGAGTTGGTACCCTAGTCGCGGCTGGCGGTTGAGAAATCGAATGGCCTTCCTCCTCATACAAGTGACTCGGTTAAGGGAGTTGATCAGAGGGACGCCGAGGGAGTTAAGCGCAAATATGCTCATTCTCGGCGCACAGCGCCGCTAGGTTAGCCTCGTTAGCGGTACGCATCGCGGCTAGGTCGGTTTTGTGCTTGGCACGCATACTTTGCAGATCAGCGGTGTGCTGCTGCCGCATCTGCTCGACCTGCTCGATCAGTCTTCTCAATGCTGCTTCGTTGTTCATGTTAGCTGCGTGATTTAGGTCATTTGTTGCGCGTCTGCTATGGCTTCTGGTGAAAACCATACGGAAGGCCGATAAGAGCTGTCTTGATCGGCCCCACGGTGGGCGCCAAATGTTCTTACCGGAGGTCTGCTGGAGAGATCATCCGCCGAGTAAGATCGATGAGCCTCCTTCATTGGTACGTTGGTGTTCCAAGATGGGGGTGGTACCTGCAAAAGAGACTCTGATGCTAAAGTTAGGGTTTGTGGGAGTATGAGTCTCGTATATGTAATGCTCGTTCCTTTGTGTGGAGTAGGGTTTTATTGGGCCTTGGGCCTGAGAACAGTTTATGACCTAATTGGATGTAGGCCTGACGTGGCCTAGCGCGTGTCTGAGGTCACTCTGCGCTATGATGCTGAGCTCAAGCTCGACATAGCGGTACAGATAGTACATTAGCCCCCCGAGCTCCAAAGACCGTAGGTCGAGGAGTTAAGACCGAGCTCGACAAGGGGTCGTGACTCTTCGTGCACGCCTATCTGACATGACGCCATGTGTCATAACCGTCACCTCGTTCCCATAACGCGTGGGCGGCGCGGTGACAAAATTGTATTTTTATTGGTTTGATGACGTGGCCTCTTTGGCCCGATGTGGTGTTCCAATATCCATGTTTCATGGTCGAGCTGAGGAGCTCGCCAATAATGAGCTTATTGCTTGGTTAGGCTGGTAAACCTTTGACCGAGTCAGCAGATTGGTGAGGGACAAGTCGGCAACTCGGCTGGCCAGTACACTTGCCCCCCAAGTACCGAGTAATGTAAGAGCAAAGGGGCTTCTAAGGAGCTCCCAAATTTGTTGTTTGAAGGTTCAAATTTGACCTTGTTAAGTAGATGTGATCTTCAAGGTTCGAGCTCGACCTTGGTTAAGAAAATGTGATCTGAAGGTTCGGCTCGACCTTGGCATATCAAGGTTCGAACTCGACCTTGGTTAAGAAAATGTGATCTCAAGATTCGAACTCGACCTTGGTTTAGAAAATGTGATCTCAAGGTTTGGACTCGACCTTGGTATATCAAGGTTCGAACTCGACCTTGGTTAAGAAAATGTGATCTCATGGTTCGGACTCGACCTTGGCGTATCAAGGTTCGAACTCGACCTTGGTTAAGAAAATGTGATCTCAAGGTTCGAACCTGACCTTGGTTAAGAAAATGTGATCTCAAGGTTCGGACTCGACCTTGGTATATCAAGGTTCGAACTCGACCTTGGTGAGTCGTCATGGTTAATGTGCCAATACCGAAAATGTATGGGAATGGAGTTGCTTTGTTGATTTATTTCTGAGGTGTGCCTCGTTAAAACCTTCCTTGGCCAAAAACCCTTTTCTTTAGTGGGAAAAAAGGCGTCATGGTTAATGTGCCAATACCGAAAATGTATGGGAATGGAGTTGCTTTGTTGATTTATTTCTGAGGTGTGCCTCGTTAAAACCTTCCTTGGCCAAAAACCTTTTTCTTTAGTGGGAAAAAAGGTTGAGGAGGAAAAAGAGTACATCACCTAAATTTACAAGTTAAGAGAAATAAAATTTGAGGTGGGTGGAATTCCAAGTTCCAAATTTTCCTTTGGAGGGGTCTGTTCTTGCTTCTCCCCTTAATCGCCAAATAAGGTCACCAACTTTAAATGTTCGTGGCCTGACCTTGGTCTTGCTTTCCTTGTGGTTTGTCGTGAATTGTCTTGCGGAACTCGGCATGTTCCTCCATCTGGATGTACCCAGCAGCGCGAGCTCGGAGCTCGTCCATGTCGGGAGGAGGTCGTCGGCAAAGGCTGTCGACGAAATGTCCTGGCTTGAGTGCCATGAGCATGGCATGTAAGGCGACCTCGGGATTTAAGTTTCGAATTTTCACCGAGATGCCGGCAAAACGTTCCATGAACGCCCGTAGTGGTTCTTCGTTGCTCTGTCTGAGACTGGCCAAGTCGGCTGATGTGACATGGTGAGGTCGACTTGATGGAGGACCATCCTTGGTACTTCACTTCATGTG